CGGTGCCTGCAATTAGTATTCACTGTGACAATCAGTCTGCTATTGCAAGAGCACAAAATTGCATGTATAATGGTAAGTCTAGACATATACGTCGTAGACACAATACCATAAAACAGTTGATCTCAAATGGTATTATCTTCATTGATTATGTAAAATCAAAGGAGAATCTCGCGGATCCGCTCACAAAAGGTCTACCAAGAGATCAAGTATATTATCTATCAAAGGGAATGGGATTAAAGCCAAACACGCATGAATCTTAATGATGGTAACCCAACCTTATTGACTGGAGATCCCAAGATCTTGGTTCAATGGGACAACTAAGTTATTAAGACTCAGTTAAGCACTTAACCATCCCTTTATAAAAAGTGCTGTCTGCAGAAAGTAAAAGGATAAGTTGTAACTTTTAATGATTCCTATAGCTTGGATAAACCAAGTGGGGTATAACAGAATACTATTAATAGGAGATCACCTATATAAGTGTGAAGTGGGGCCGCTCCTATGAGAATTTGGGGCTTGAAATTCTCTAAAGCACTTATGAATCCCAAGAATCGTTCAGGGCCAAAATGAACACAACTATGAGAACCTAAGAATTGTATAGAAAGGTTATTGTGTGGATACTGCTGCCTTGGTTTACACCAACGGCTGAACAGTTCAAGACATCAGTTCACTGATTAGCCAAGTAAACTCGATAGTATTCCACTAAGGCAGGTTCAAGGCCAAAAGCTACCTCTCCTGATGCAATAATTCTTTCGCCCGTACTCTCTGTTCGTGTCTGCATTGCATAGTCATGATAATTTCCATTCATGTGGGGGATTGTTGGAAATGGTGGGTCTATTGGGTCAACTTTGACCACAATTTTAAGTAGGACCCGATGTTCGATGTATCAAGATTAATGTTCAATTAAATTCTACGTTCCGAGTAGATGAGTGTAGAATATTTAATTGTGAAAAACCATTTCAATATGAATGAGAAATTATGGTTGAAAGTTGGATAATAAATAAGAGGATAAATGGGAAAGAATTGGAAAAATGTTCCAATCCCACATAGGTTGCAAACACAACCTTTAACCACTTAATAAGCTTTAAGTTTGGAAATGGATTTGGGCCCCAAGGGGTACCAATAGTCTTTGAAAGGGAGGAGTCTTAGACAATGTCTAGACTAGTCCAAAGGCCACACGCGCGCCGCCGCCGCCGTCCGTCCGACCGGCCGGGTCGGGTCCGGGTGTGGGTGTGGGTGTGGGTTAAAATTAATTCAATTTATTTTCGATTTAAAAAAAAATTGATTTAATTTTTTCCTCCCTTTGACAGTTTACTAACCGACCCATCAGTTCGAAGAAACTGTGCATTAAGTGGCGTGAGGGAAACTGCCCAAAACCGTCAACTTTCTTCCTCTATTCGAATAGTCTTCACTGCCCAAAATCGTCAACTTTCTTCCTCTATTTGAATAGTCCTCATACAACACAAAGAAACACACGAAAAATTTCCTGCATACATATATCATACATCTCTTCTTCCTTGCATCAGTCTGCGGGGAGTATTTTCATTCGTTCTGGTTCGTTGTCTTGCAGTCGAAGTGCTGCTTCTGCAAGTGTGATCGTTGTATCTTGGGAGACGCTTTACCATATACCGTAAGCACCGTGTGACGGGGTAAAAACGTCTTAAGGACAGAGAGCCTTGTTCTCGCCTCGATCATCCTCCTTCCGAATTCTGGACTTCTTTCTTTCATAATTTTTCGAAAATAATAGTCTACTTTACTGTTTCTACAAATCATTTTCTGCTTTACTGTTTCTGCAAATCATTCATGGAAAATCTGTTTCATACAAACTTTTAAAATTTTAACCAACACTCTTTATCTACACAGAGCCGCTCTTGCTCTTTATTCTGGCAATTCCGATTGTTGCTTTCTTATCCCCAACATCGCCATCTCCATTGATAAGGTTCGTGTGGAGAAACAACCACTTGAGTATATGGAACGCTTGGATGGTCATCGTTCATAGAAATTAACATAACTTTCACATACAGTGTCCATTTCGGGCCCATAACCCCTTTCGAAAAGCTTGCGATGATTTTGGATGAACTCACCACCTTGCCGTGACATATGATGGATTTTGACTGTTTGAATTTGTTTACTGGGTTAAAACAGCATTTCAAGTTTCTTAATCTATTATTTTCAGTATTTGTTATTTTTGCTTTATAGTCCAAACCATTAAAGAACTGCTGACCTAGTAGGTTATTTGTTCTTTTCATATTTAAGGCTTCGAAAATGCCTCCTAGATTTTTGATTGTTCATGAAATTAGAAAACCGTTGATTTTATTGAGTTCAATCCGTTTGAGTTATTACCATCGAGTGTTTGTAGATTCGATCTACATCAATTAAAATACCACTCCAAATATGTAATAAACTGAACATGCGATGAGCAGTGGGTGAACAAAGAGAAACAGCAAAGCGGGACCAAAAGAGGAGAGCGATGGTCTAACTGATAAAGCCATAGGGATTATCCTAGCCATGACTATATCTATGTATGCATTTGTGTTAATATTTGTGTAAAAAGAATTTGTGTAGAGATTATCCTCGCCGTGGCTGTATCCTGGTAATGGGTGGGTGTGGGTTATGGTGGATTTGAATATTTGTGTATACAGAGAATTTGATTAGAGAGAGGTTATGGTGGAATTTGATTTCTACATGATTGTAATTCATCACATGATTTTTGAAATATTTTTATAAGTTTGTTAAATGTGAAATAGTATAGTTAAAGTATTGTAGTTATATATTTTTTCCAAATAATTTGTATCTTAAAATGCAAAAGGTTATAAATTTTGTGCTAGAAAATATTGTTTATATTATAAACATAAATTTAATTATTTATTTTAATAGAGTTCATAACGTGTATTTGTTTTTGCTCTGATCACTCTATTGTTGCATAATTGCATTTACAGGTTTGCGGTGCTAAAGCATGACGAAACTTTTAAAGAAAATTATAATTAACTTTTATAATCTAATTCGCTTCTAGTTACGATTGAATCAAATATGCGAAAGACATATCGCTATAGGAAAATTTACAAATACACTCTCCATTTTTTGAGAAATAAAACATAAGGGTCCCCATTCAATTTTTTTAGGTGCACAAGTCCTCAAATTCTTACTTGAATGAAAACTGTTAATTATTCTTTTTTCCCAGCCATAATCCCTACCCTCGTTCACTCCCTTACCCCGCCCTTCCTACGGCCATAAAGTGTGTCAAAAATTTTACTTTAAAATTTAAAGATACTCCCAGAAATAGTCGACACAAACAACAAAAAAGAATGTTGTAAGTCCAAGACTCCAAACCCCTTTATATTTCTACCTATAACGCCCGTTGGTCAAATGCGACCCTTTTGGCTTCAACAAGGTATCCACCATTGCTAAAAGAGACTAGCCAAGGTCGAAAATCACAAGCTCCTGGAGCTGCATAATAAGAAAAAATAACAAAATATTACAACCCACAAGCTATCCACTCCACTATTCTTATTATTTATTTTTTTTTTTTTTCCTCCAAGAAACATACAAGGATGAAGCGAAGAATGCAGCATGTAACTTTTGTTGTCGAAAATTCGACTAACGCAATCAAAAGAACAAATAAAATAAACAGAAAAATAGAAAACAGTAAATGAAGCGAGGTATGCCAATAAAATAAGCAAATCTCCTTAAAACAGATTTCGCCCCCCAATGAAGTGCAAACGAGATTATGGACGTCTGTCTCCCAAGATACAACGCTCCTTCCAAAGTCGATACTGCACAATATCAGCTTTGTCGGTTGAACCAATGAAAGATCGTACTCGAACGGAATAACCACAGAAATGTAAGAGAATTTTTAAAGTAGAATATGGAGAGAGAAGAATTTAGAAATCAATTGAATTCGTAATTGATTTGGTGTGTCCAAAAACGAATCTGGGGTTCTCTATTTATAGAGATTGAAGTGTTTCATGGAACAAGTGTGTGACATTTCAAAAACTGGTGCACCACTTGGTCTGATTCGTCTTAGTCATTGGATCGCACTATTTTCATGATCTGACGGCTCAGATTGAACCATGAAGTGAAGTGTCCATTCATCATGCCTATTCACCAATTTCTGAACAGTCACAGCCATGCGGATGTCATGCGTACATCTAACCGCCACGCAGGACGAAGGGACGCGACATACCACACATGCGCCACCTAGAATGCCAAATCATCGAGCCTTGCCCTGCCACGTCATCGAACCACGAGTCCATTTTCGAAAACTATAAGGCTCCCCAACTCCTCGCGACGATGCGTACATGCGAAGTGCGCCTCTAAAGCGCCCAATGCGTACTTTGCGACGTGCGCGTGCTGGGACCGGGTTCGAGGAGAGGCGCGAGTGGTGCAAAGCACCACTCTAGTGGTGACTAGCCTTTGGCTAGCTAAAGTCAGCCAAGTGGTAGGTAATTTATTAAATTATATATTATTCACACAACCCACTATATAAACAAGACTATTTTTTTTGTAAACTTTCGATGTAAGACTCCTTTCCATATAAAAAACACTTAAAATGGGCTTATCAACATATGGACCTATATTGGAGACTTTTCCAATTCACCCAAATTAAATTCAATTAATTCCAACAACTTTCGTAAGATTATTTCCAACAGATTACAAAATTGACTGGTGGATGCAAACCAAAAGTTTAAGGATAAGTGCAGGAGAAAAAGAAAAGATGGAAAAGACATTCAAAAGCGACGAATGATTTTTGTGCATGCTTTTTTGCGTCAAAAGGAGAAGCTGCCTTTTTATTTATTTATTTATTTTTTTGGTATCCTAAAAAATTTCAAGTCAACTCAAAATTCAAATTGGTATTCACCTTCATGCTTTAGAACATTTCTTGAAGATGCTATTTTGAATATGAGCAATCGATGCAAAATAGACAAGCACTAGTATTTTTTATTTTTTGGTGTGTATCTTGGGGTGGGATTTAGGCAGGGGAAGAGTTGCAAAATTCACATAAATATGTAGAAAATACAATACAATTATCTTATATTAAGAGCTTGAAGTTAAACAAGGAGTATCTCCAAACTTACAAACTTATACCCAATTTCCTATCTACATCACCCCCAACAATGACAAGAAGAGACAAAACTTAGTTCTGAACCTAGCTAGCGTTCCCCTTCCGCAAATTATATTTGCACACTTGAGTTTATTTCTTTACATAACTAAAGAGGAACAATATTGCAAGACACATATTCATGCGTTTCTCGAATCGACCCCACCCCCAAACGAAACTCGACGATGATAAAGGAAGAAAGAAACCAAAAGAGGAGATGAATCAGGATGCAGCATCACCTAGGCCTTGGTCGAGATGAAAATGACCACACTGGTCGACACCTTACTGAGTTTATTTCTTTACATAACTAGAGAGGAACGATATCGAGAGACAAATATTCATTCGTTACTCGAATGGCCCCACCCCCAAACGAAACTCAATCATGATAAAGGAAGAAAGAAACCAAAACGGGAGATGCATCATAATGCAGCATCACCTCGGCCTAGGTCGAGATGAAAATGACCACACTGGTCGAAGAAGCCTTTGAGCTGAAGGACTGCCTAACAATGTGGCCTGAGAACGAGTAACCATCTCGAGCATTGAAGGGGTTTGATAGGCCTGAACTAGGCTTGAACCATCAGTGGAATCGCCTCTTGCTGTTGCTCTCTGCCACGAGTGTGAGCTCAGCCCTGACAGTATATATGCCCTTCCAGATGCCTCGTACACGTGTTTGCTCGCCATCCTCTCTTGCATTTCCTTCAGCTCAGCATCAAGTGCAACACAGAGCCTGTCACGAGATTTAGCCGACACGGTTTCTGACAACATCATGCGGCAGTTTTCGAGGATAGAAACAGCACCAACCAAATCTCCATTTTCAGCTGCAATGCGAGCTTGTGACATTGCCTCTGCTGCTTGAAGCCTGTTTTGCTGCCTCTCCACTTCAATTGACACGCTGTCTTGTCTAGCCACTACAGGTCTCTTGATTCTAACTTCTTCACCTTCTAAGGTGACAGTTTCTTTTGTCAAGGGATCATTGTAAACACATTTTACCTTCAGCAACATCGTTTCATTGCATGAAAATGAAGCAGGGATGTTTATTGTAACCAAAAAGTCTCTCTCCTCATCCGCATAGAGATCTCCAACATCAATAGATCCCGTACGTCTATCTGACAAGATGTGGTTGGCATAACTCCCTGCCTTTAAAGAACCAAGATGGACACTCGGGTGAAGACACTCAATACTTATCTGCAGATCCTTCACCACTACACTCAAAAGGCCTCCAATGCACTGGGCAAATGCATCCTGGATAACCGCTTCAGTCTCAATGAAAGAAAAGGTCCCTCCAGAAATCTCTGAAATTGAGTGCATGGATGATGCGTCATGATCTGCACCAAACCCAAATGCATGAACTGGAATCTTAAAACCTGAACCATCTTCACGTTGCATAGAAACGGGCAGGAGCAATTGGTAATTTAGTTGATTCTGGTTGCCACCAGTATTACTGACAGTATACGTGTCTTGCCCATCAGATAATAATATTATACTGGCAACTGGATTTTTTTCCCTCCGGTCTTCCATTATTTTGGAACTTTTTCTCAAACCTTCAGCGATATTTGTCCCTCCACTGGCAACTAAAGAATGAACAGCCTGTAATGCTTGCTGCCGTCCTGTTTCAGACATCCTACGAAGGGGAAAGAGGCGTCTGGCTGTAGAAGAGAAGGCAATGACTGCCAACCTATCATTGGGACCAAGATTCTGTATCACAAACCCCATAGCTCGTTTTAGTAATGCAAGTTTAGTGCCTGCCATGCTTCCACTAATGTCAAGAACTGTAACAAGATCAACAGGAGCTCGATGTGTTTGAGAGATTTGGGGCATATTGGCCTGGTTTCTGTCAGGATTCTGCCAAGAGTTCGATGCAGGAGCTTTTACATTAATCAAGACACAGAATTTTTCCGAAGTGTTTGACTGTGGAACTGCTGGAACTTCCGTAAACGTCTTCATCTTAACTTTTCTTTGTTCACTACAATCCCCTAGACTCTTGTTTGAAGAGCTGTTCTCAGTGGAGTCAAGTTCATGATCCAACATTTCGTCATCATTGAAGATTGCTGGCTCAGGTGCCTGGAATAGTGGTGCAACATTTCTACTAGTATTTGAACGAGGAGGTGGCAATTGACGGATTACTGTCATCAATGTATTGTTTTGGGGCCAATCAACAGGGTTGACTCTCGCCCTACCCTGGGAAGGATCCAGGCTCGGACCTTGTAAGGGAATCTCTTTCCACTTTGCTCTACAAATTGGGCAAATTCGGTTGCCATGTTTCACATTTGAAGCAATACAATGGAAATGAAAGGAATGTGAACACTCGGCAGTGAATATAGCTTGGCCATCTCGTCTCATTGATGTCAAACAAATAGAGCAGGTTTTCTGCAAGTGAAAAACAAATGCCAATGAGAAAAATATGGACTATAAAATCAGTTTGAATAAAATCTCTTAACATTGTAAAGGATGATCACTAAAAACGTAAACAGACAAACATTAGTTACTATTCTGTTAACTTTCTCATATTTAAAAAAAATAAAAATAAAATAATAATAATAATAGACATTTTTTCCAATTGAACTATAAATAAATTAAACCATGCCAACATAGCTCAGGAATGCTCACACATAGCACATTTAATGCAGGTGCCTACATCCACCGATTGATTGATATATTGTGACCTTAACATAATGAGGAAGACCATGTGACTTGGAATACAGTAGTAATAGCCAAAAAGAAATTGCAGACTTTATTGAGGAAAAAGTATATATTTTTGCATTATTGAAAAAGGCAAAATCCCTGGCTCCATTACAGGCCTCTGCATTTAAGGGACTCGAGGGTTTCCTTCTTCGATAGTTGTTTTCAACAACAAAATAAGATTTATAGTTTAGTAGGAGGAGGACATCTCATTCTCCATGAAAAGAAAATTTAATTCCTTAAATAGCAAACTTTTTGTTTGTTACCCAAAAGAAATAGTTTGAAATTAAATGGTCAACAAAAGTGGTAGCAACAAAATATTACTTTTTCCAAGAGATGAGAGGCAAAGGCGAGCCTGTAACCCTTTTCTCGTGGAGAAAAAACGCGAGAAAATTTTCACTATAATCTTAGAAATACAAAAAGAAAACAAGGAAATAAAACTTTGTATACAGCAAGATACCTAATTCGCAATCCCCCATAGCCATTAAAGAAGAAACAAAAACCAGTAATAAGACATGCCAAACAAAACATAAAATATTCCATACAGCATTTGTGATGAAAGACCAATCAAAAAATTGATGAAACTTTGTAAACACATTTAGGTTTGGGTAAGCTTAAAGAGTTAACTTAGTTGAAAATAATTAACTTTGAAAATAAATACTTTTTTTACTGGTACAAATTGAAAATAAGTTCTTGACATACTAAGGTAAGAGATCTTAAAATAATTAACTCTTTTTTACTCAAAGTCAAGAAAAAGGTAGCATATTCAGGCATGTTTGGAACAAAAAGTCACTATATAACTTTACTTTTTGTTCAGCTTGGCCAAACATAATCTCTAAAGCATCAAACTTTCAAAACTCAATGTACAGCAGAACGCTATACAAAACTTGACCAAAAAAAGAAAAAAGGAGGACGAGACCATGAATCAGATACTATACTTCGATCCACGGCTCCTTTCCCCCTCAGTGTTTACCATATAAATCGTTAATCAGACACTGCCTTAAAATTAAAAATTGAAAATCCAGAATTAATAAAATTATATAAACACGGCAATGACCATCGAACTCTTGAAAGGGGAAAGGTGCTTTCAAGGTTTCCATTTCTTTAGCCACATCCTTCCGCGCATCCAAAAAAGCAGAAGAGAAAAATTAAGGAAAATGAGAAAACAAGGAAACTTGAGGATAATATCAGCACAAGAAGCAAAACAATGACAGAAATGAGCAACGATGTTCATTTAGATTAAAAATTGAAATAGCCCAAAAATGTAGAACAAAAAAGATACCAACTAGTCATGGTTGTTTCAAAGATTCAATAGCCTTTCTCAAAAAACCATATGAGCCAAAAACGCATATAATTTGATCTGTAAAAGGTTCGATCATCTTCCTGTTTCTATATCCTCTTAACAAACATATCAGACACCAAAAGAAACTTTTAACATTCATCTTTTCCAGCTTTCAAAATTTAGCGAACAAACATAACAGAGTCAGATTAACCATAAATAATTTATATTTCTTGGCATTTATGCCAAAGAAAGGTATCGGATTTGGCTTTCTAAGGGCTCATAATATTTATCTAACCAGATTCCTTTATTTCTCAGTTTCCAACACATCAAATGCATAAACCCTTCCATTCAATGCATTCATAAAAAACCCAGAATTTCCTCAAATATTTCATCGCCCACCTCCATCTATTAGTGATCAACCACAACCAACAGCAATCAACATGAAGAAAAAAGCTCATAAACAGATATTGAAACCTAAAAAATGAAAATCAAATAACTAAATAAATAAAAGCTCAAAGACACAAGACCTTAGAAGAAGATCTACTCAAGCTCTTGGAAAACTTCAGCATATTCGACCCGGGCGTCGGCGGAGCTGAGGTCCAGTTCGCCACTGGCGACAGCAGAGCAGCGTCTGAGTGTCTATAAGAAGACGGCGACAAAGATCCATCCTCATCATCATTATCAGCAATATTATTTCTTGGAGTATACACACACAGATTCATACCGAGTGCAAGCTTCACTTTCCTCCATTTACTCCCCATTTATAATTATTTCACACATAAACACCAAAACGAAGCTTTACAAGAAAACCCAAGAAAATAATGCTATTCTCTTGTAATGGGTCTTCCTTCAAAGAGAACAAACAATACTTTTCAAGAAAATGAGTAAGATCAAAACAAGGGCTGTTCTTCGAAATGGGACTGTCTTAAAAGAGCAAAAGAAGTAGAAAAAAAAATCAAATTTCTGCAAGCACGAAAATCAAGATAGACAAAGCAAGTATTATCCTTGTTCTTGAAATAAAAGAGAAGAAGTAAAAGGTCAGAAATAGGGTGAGGAGAGGAGTGAAGTTGCTTTACTCTTCTACTTGGCGGCCATGAGATAGAGAGAGACGTTGAATTACGGTAGTGAATGGAGAGACGTGAGTGACCTTTTGCTGCTGGTTTGTTTTGTTTGCTGTTTGATGGGCTGTGGGTTTTTGACCTTCATTCTCAAAAATAATTCGTAAAATATATTCAATGCTCAAATTTGTTTTTATATAATTATTTTTTATATAGATTAAACTTTGATTTTAATTTTAAGTTAAAAGTCAACAATTAACTTTAAAAACTAAATTTTATATAACTCACATTTTTTAACTATACGTTTTATTTTCTTTTTAATAAATTTTACTAAAACACTGATTTTTTAACTATACTTTTTGTTTTGGTTGTTGTCCTATGTGTTTTTCATCTCAATGAAATTGCCTTTTTTTAATCCTTTTCAACTCCTTGTATTCAGTGACCGACTCAAGATGTCTAATTTAATTACGAAATTTTTTAAAATATAAATATAATATATTAAAAAATAAATAGATTTAGGATCTCATTTGGCTCCGCCACTACTTATATTACTTTAGCTAGTTCAAATGACGTATTTGTACAAATAAATTTAGGCCATCATGAAAAAACGAAGCATGAATTCTATCTCTTGTTAATTATTAATGGTGGAAATGAATAGCGTTGATGTTCATGCCATTCGTGGATAATCAACAAAACTATGCAAGGGATAGTTGTTGACAAAAATGTAGTATAGGGTTTTTTCAACGAATTTCTTTAACACATTTGTACTTAACTAGTTAATATTGAACGTCCATAAGTATGATGAAAGTAACATTTGACCCTCCATTCACCATTTTGAACTAAATATGATAAAAATGCAAGCATTTGAAAATAAAAAAGGCTAATTATTAACTTGAATGTCAATAAATTTAGAATTAATACCACGGAATATATACTTGACAATGAATGTCAAATCATTTATACTAAATGAATTTAATTTAATTTAATTTTCAATTAAGTGAAAATGGATGTTAATTAACACACATGGACGTGAATAATGAACCACACTCTTAAATGTAAAATTCTAATTAATATTAATTATATGAATGTGAATATTAATTAATTGAGAATTAATAATAGGGACATTGACATAAATTTAAATGTTAAATACTAATTAAATAAATATGAATGTTAATTAACTGAGAATTGAATTTAGGTAATATATGCATGAACAATAATTTTATAGTATTTATTACACTTTGTAAATTAATTATATATTGAAAAACGAAAAGTTAGGTATAATTGAAATAATTGAGTTGTAGTGGGTTTATAATCGTCCAAAAAATATTTCTTACTTGATGTGATATTTAATATATTATAATTATAATAATGCATTTATCTTATTTGTTTCAACATAATAACAATGAGATTGTAATATTCGTGACTTCAAAATCACCATTTCAATCTTTAAAGACGAGTTTCCATGGAATAAACATTAAAAATCTACTATTTGAGATCCAACTTTGTCATAAGACACTACGAAAATTATATACGATATCATTACTAATATGTTTCTTGATTTGTTTAACCCACTTCTATAGAAAAATTAGATTGTACAAATTAATTTAGTGTCTCCGACTCTCAAAAGAGAGGAAGAAAATTAAACCTCTAAGTGAGTCTTTTTCCCCCCTCCTCTTAAAACAAAATTTGTATTTCTTCTCATAAAAAAGATTTTAATTCCATTTCTGTTTTTAAGTCTAAGTTCTTGTTTGGTACAACTTAGAAAATAGCTAAAAAAAATTGATATCAAAATCAACAATTAATTTTAATCACATATTTCATGAAACCACGAAATTTTGTTAAACAACCCCTAAATATTATTGCGTGGGACAGATATAGAAGTTGCTTTCGTTATCCAATTTATATTTTGTGGATGTGTTTTGGCTATTATAATAATGGCAAATTGCTAGGAGAAAGTGGATTATGGCATTATTCTTTTTCCTTTTTGGACATTTTCTTGAATACAAATAATTCCATAGGGGTAGCCCGTGATGACTTGGGAGAAATATTCAAAGGAACACTAGGATTTTTCTAATATTGTATTCACCACATGATTCCATCAATACTCCCCAACCCTGCTCTCGTGTCATCCTGTTGACATTGCCCACGTATAATTGTCAAATTCTTTGATTTTTTTCCTTTCTTGTATAAAAGAAAAAGGTTGAATCCCAACCTTGTGAGTCCCCACCGCTCCGCCTCTAGAGTTTTGTGAGGAAGGTAAATCGCGAGATGTACCCCAACAGATCAGGAAACAAGAACTGTCTGTACACTACGCCTACAAGGAGTCAAATTTCATGTCTCAGGAATCGAACCCTCACACTGCGACTGCCAGCAAGGCGTGAAAGCCCCTCACTCCTGTCCTTTCTTGTATGTATATATCCAATGTGAAATGCAACTAAAGATTATGCTCACATAATTAGCAATGGATTCATACCGCTTATTTTAATTCATTGTAAAATTTTAAATGATACAAAATAAAATAAATATAAACTTACTATCGACATGACAATGCAAAAATACAAAATCAAATAATGCTTTGAAGCCCAGTTGGTTCATGGATTTAATCTTAAAAAGTTTACTTGGCTTTAAACTTTTGAAATAAGAAGTGAGTTATTTATTTTGACATTAATGTATAATTAATTTTGAAAACTAATCTTTTTACTTAAAGGTAAAGGTGAAAGTCAAGAAAAATAAAGAATTACTTAAAAATCAATTTTTTATTACGTTTAGTCAAACATCCTCTTAATCAATCGGCATACGGAACAAATAATTTTAATTAAAGTGATAAACTTAAAATTTGTCGTATTATTGTCTATTTTTTTAGGGTCATCGAATTCGGCAACTTTGGTCAACATTTGGGCACTCGAGGTCTTTGTTCATTTGGTCCACAGAATTAGGATTAAAAAATTAAAACATTTTTGCAACAACCAAAACGTTTGTTTCGACTTTGTTTTCGATGTCTTTGTAGAAAGTTTATTCTGAAAGTTGTAAAGAATTCCACATTTCTTGTTATTACATTTTACATGGAAATGTCATAAAAAAATAAAAAATATTGTCAAATTTTACATAGTAAATAAAGAGAAAAAATCTATTTCCAAATTCGTGCAGAGAAGAAGAGAAAATTTAAGTTTATTCAGAGATGAATTATAAACTTATGGCAAAACTACAAATCGAGAAGGACACAAACACTGAAATTTTAATTTCAACAATCACGTCAAGGACGTTATTGTTTTTTATTATAGTGTAGTTGGAACTATACAATATCACTCTATTTTCATGTGAATATTTTCTAAATAGTTGTGTTTTGAGCAAAGATTATTGTTACACACTTTAATTAATATCAAAAGTCCAATAAATTACTCATGCATGAATTAAAATTAAACAAAGAATTTTTGGTAAAGAAATCCATCAATATTTATGTGGATAGTTAAAAAATTCAGCAGATTTTGTAGAATATATGCCTAATTGGACTCTTGAAATGATTCTCTCCATGTCACAACAAGAAGTGAATGCTTGAAGAATATACCTAAACGCATATATTTTTCAAGTAGAAAATTGAAGCACAACAAAATCAAAGAGAACCCCACTAACTTTATTCTCAATATACGCAGAGGACAGATGGAAACCAAAATTTTTTACCCACATTTTGTTCGAAAATAACAATCAACATGTTGATGGAATATTGAAAACGTATCAATATGGGATACTAATTTTCATTAAAATGTTTAGTTGCAAGATTTGTCAATGGGGAATCTTGATGAAAACACATGATTCTGTATTCCCACTTCAAAAAGACAACCTTTTAAAAGGAAAAATGCTGTCTTTTTAAGCAGCAAAAAAAGTTTATTCCTCTCCCTCATAAAAGAACATCAACTAGGAACCAAGACAGTGGCTCCTTTCCATTTCACCCTTCTTTTCAGAGCACACAACACATGCCTCCCAGCCCAACTTTATATTTTATTTTTATTATTATTATTTTTTTGTGTATATAGAGAGAGAAAGCTCTTAGCAATGAGTAGAGATCCGTTGAGAGAGAGAATTCTATAAACTCCCTTTGCTAAAGGGGTTTCCTTTTAGTGCCTCAAAATTTGGCAAGCTTTCTGGGGCCAAGTCAACTACAGAGCTACCTTTTTTTCTCTTAGTTTTTAGAACTTCGAACGCCATTCTCTAATGGGGCATGCCCTCTCTCGTTAGGGTCATTTAGGATTACTAGAAGTAAGCACGTGCGTTGCACACCTTATGTATGAAATGAATGATATGAGTAATATTTTTGACGTAGTAATACTGTTTTTTAAAGTAGTAAAGGTAATTGTTATTGTTAAAGAAAAAATCAAATTTGTAAAAAATATATGACTAGATGTATAATATATTAAATATCATTTCAAGTGAGAATCACTTTTTTGAAGATTCTATCCTTAATATAATTCAATTATTTTAATATCTTACTTTTCGTTTTTCAATATGTATTTAATTTTTAATAATACCCTACCTTTCATTTTTCAATATGCATTTAATTTATTAATCATTTGAACCATTTAAACAATGTTATCATTAATTATTTTGTCAAATATTTAGTTATGATGAATGTACATTTGACACAATCATTATCTTACTTTTCGTTTTTCAATATGTTTTTAATTTATTTAACCATTTTTGATAGATTCATTATTTTTCATTTTTCAATATGTATTTGATTTATTTAATCCCTTGAACAATATTATCATGCATTATTTTGTCAATTATTTAGTTATAGTCAATGTAAATTTCACATATTCATTCCACTTAATTGGATAGTAAATTAAATTCATTAAAAAATTTATGGAATAAAAGATAAATATTTTTAGAGTTTTCTTTCAATTAATTTATTCAATGAATGTTAACATGCAGAGAAAGTAAAGGGATGGACATAATATGTATTTATAATAAATAATTTCAATTGATATATTCAATGCATACTAAGCTAGCGAATATAAAGAAATGGCAGTATTTATTGAATGTTCAATTCGGATCAAAATGGTGAATGAGGGACTATTCTAATTGACTTCCTCAACTATTTAATTTTTTTTTTAACAA